GCTTCATGGGCCCATGTGTATCCTTTGGCCCAGCCCATGTCTACTTTTCCTATAAGAAACAGTCCTTCTAAGCGTTAGCACTCAGGGATCTCCTTGGTGCCTTTTGCGTCTTATGTTGCCTGTAGATCTCTCCTCCATGCCACTCGAGTGTGGCTTCCCTGGTTGGCAGGGCCACACCTCGAGCAGTGGCTAAGACCTGGGCTCTGGAGCCAGACTGCCTGCGCTAATTTCTGCTGCTGCTTCCTAGGAGCTTTCTGATTTGAATGAGTTACACAACCTCTGTGCCTTAGTTTCCTCCTGTGAACACTGAAGATGATAGTAATAAGACCTGTCTCATAGTGTTGTCAGGATTAAATGAGTGAATATGTGTAAGGGACTCCAAAAGATGATGTTACAGCTTGTCTTTCAGGCGGTCCTCTCAGCGTAGACTGGTGACCGTCTAGGTGGAGGGAGGCAGAGTTCACTGCATCGGGCCACATACTTACCAGCCTCCAAGGCCAGTGTCCCTGGGCAGTCTCTGCATATGTACCGAACAAGAGCAGCCACAAGATGCTTGTCGAGAAAGAAAGCAGTAGAAAGGCAGCACACAGCTGTGCTCTGAGAGAGGAAAGCATGGCCGTTGACAATAGGCAGGTGACAGCAAGAGACCGGCCAGGCTGGCGTGCCACTAGTGAGGCCGCCTTAGCCCTTCTGCAGCAAGCCCTCAGCTTGGAAAGAGGGAAGTCAGTAGTGACTTGCTTTGTTCTGAGTGATGGCTCAGGTCTTCCTCACACTCCACAGCAAGTACTGTCAGTTTTGTGTGTCATTACGCCCCCAGCCTAGTGACTTCTTGCCATCTCCCCAGCTGCAGCCACAGCCTCTTGCCTGGACCACTGCCACAGGTGTCCCTGCTTCCAGTCCCTTCACAGCAGCCAGAGTAGTATCTGGAAAGCTTACAGATGACAGTTCCCCTCCCCTGCCAAAACCTCCAAAGACTTCCCATCACAATTAGAATTAAATGCACAATTTTTATGAAGGCTACCAGGCCACATTGGGTTTCTCTCTGTCCCCCTAGGCATGTCTCCTTTGTTTCTGAATCAGGCTCTTTGTACTGGCTGGCTCCTCTGCTCAGAACTCTCTTGCCAAGGTCTTTATATCATTGTCCCCTCGTCATTTAAGTCTTACTCCGAACCTCACCTCCCAGTGGCCTTCCCTCATTATCCTTGCATGAGTGGACAGACTACCCCCCTTCCAGCCCTTTAGTCGTGCCCTCATGCATTTGCTCCATTTTATTTTCTTCCTGGTGTTTATTTTGTTTGTTCATGTAGGTTTTTATTGTCCTCGAACTCCAGCTCTCCACAAACACACTTGGAGTGTGAGCTCTGTGCAGGCAGATGTTTATTTGCTCCTCACTGTATCCTTGCTGTCTCAGATGGAGCTGAGCACAGAGTAACTACTTCATAATACTTGTTAAGTGAAAGAGCCCTTTACAGAAGTGAACTGGAGAGAAGTGCTGTGGAGACAGGAGCACTCCTGCGCAGTAGCTTCCCCTCTGACTACAAAGCCCGGTGATATGCAGTTGGCATTGCCCATAATCCACTGCCCTATTGCTACGGAATCGCCCATGTAGTTTGTCCTTCAACTCTGAAAATAGCACAGCAGTTGCATTACTATTCAGCTATATCTAGAAGAAAGGATGTGGAACTAGTCATTCTTTCCACTCTGAAATTATGAAATTTCCACTCTCAACCCAGCCTCATAAATTGGGTGGGACAAGGCCAGATGACATCCTGGTCTTTTTTGTATTCAGGCAAGTCAACATTGCCCAGACCTTGACGTGCCCGTGGCCTCAGTCTAGGGCAGTGTGCCATTCTCCCTGTGAATTATAACTCACAGTGGTCATATCGGCCTTTAGTTTTGGTCAAGGAAAGTGAATTAGCTTGATACCAAAATGACCATGTATCAATTAATAATTTGAAATCATTATACTTTCCAATTCCAGGTCATAGTTCTGCGACGATTACACAGGATGCTGACTGCTATTCGTAAAATAGACAGAGAGAGTATAATGAAAAGGCTCAGACAAGCAAAACAATCCTCAGAACAAGGTAAAGTGTGGCTGCAACGTACGGTGATGCTGAGACTGGTCATTCCTCTGAGTGTGAGGTTTCCTTATAGTGAACATAGCTATATAGAAATAAAGTGTTTTCATAGATCGCATGTAGTGGTTTACTACTGCGACTATAACAAATCAACACAAACTTCATGGCTTAAAACAACACAAAATTATTATCTTGCAGTTCTGAAGGTCAGAGGGCTGCATTCCTTCTGGAATCCCAGGGAAAGCCCATTCCTTGCCCATTCCTGCTTCCAGAGTCCACCTGCACTCCTTGGCCCCAGGCCCCTTGGCCACATCACATCTCCTTTTCTGACACTCCTGTCTCCCTCTTATGTAGCCGCTATGACTACACAGGGCCCACCTGAAGAATCCAGAATAATCTCCCCATCTCAAGATCCTTAACTTAATCATATCTGCAAGTCTCTTTTACTGTGGAAGATAACATACTTGTGGGTCTCAGGGCACGGGATGTAGACACCTTTGGGTGCCATCACTCAGCCTATCACATGACACGAAGCAGATCGTCATGCCAGGTGTAGCCAGAATACCTGGCCAGCCCCAGACCACGCTGTGATGTCTGTGAAGTTTGGCCATAGCGAAATCTCCTGTTTTGTGCCCTCTGCTTCCTCTTGTCACCAGACAGACTAGGGTAGTCGTTATTTATCCTGATTGATTGGCTGAATCAGGTGTTTTCCCAGCCTAGTATTTGCATGTTAAGCTTTATACTCTCTGTCTTTGCTGTTTAAAGAAATTCCAGTCCTCTGGTGCCCAGGTTGGCTGGGGCAGTTGGCGGCTCACTCTCAGTAGCTTCTGGGAGCCCCAAAGCCATACATGTCACCATCTTCCCTGGCCCGAGCCCTGGAGCCTGGCTCAGGCCTTGTCCCCGAGCAGCAGCCACACTCCCCTCTGCCTTCCCACCAAGATCCAAATGTGCATTTTGTTTTTCAAAACATTATACAGCATTTTAATGATTTTTTCCTCCTATATTATTTTTATTTCTGGTATTGAAGTTTCTAATAAAGAAACTCTTCTTTACAAAAAAAACTGTAAAATTTACCTATGAATTATGTGTGCATATCTGTAAAATGTCTTCATATACTTCTTTAATATACTTCTTCATATACTTCTTTTTCTTTGCTGAATTCATCCAAGTTATTATATTTTAATTAGGAAATAGAGTTTTTTGGAAGTAAAAATAAAGCAAAATTTTTAAAAATTGGAGAAGAGGTTGAGGTAAATAGCAATGAGAACAGTAAACATAGAAATATATACATATCTATATAAACATAAATATTCTGTTTGAAAGGGCATGCTCAAACCCCCACTAGTTGGTGTATAGCAAATATGTAACTAACTATAGATGGTGGTTTCCCATAAAAATACCTTAAGAACCCCCTAAAATTCCTGTTTTGTCTGTTACCCGCAGGCAAGAATTCCTCTAAATTCCAGCTGTGGTGGGTCAGTCAGGATGCTTACTGCAGGCAGTTCTCCGTGTCGCCCAAGGAGGTGCTGCCCTTCGAGTTCCCGTCCCACACTACTTCTCAGGCCTCCAACGAGCTGGTAGGTGTCACCTGGCTATGAGGCAGGAGGCGGGCAGGGGCAGATGGTGGCTGGGCAGATACCAAGGCAAACCCTACCTCAGCCTCATCCCTTCACCTCCTCCAAGAGGCACCCGAAGGAGGCCTGTGCCCAGGGAATCGTGACCAGCGCTAACCCAGGCAGCATCTCTGACCATCTCCTGGCACCTAACCTGCACAGAGCTCGCTGGCAACCTGGGCTGGGTCCTTCCCAGCTTGGAACCCAGCATGGACACTGAGCCCCGCCCGGCTGCCCTGGGACCCCGCCTGAGAGCACAAGGGCAGAGAGAGGACCCAAGAGGGGCCAGCCTGGTCTGGGGAGGCAGGCTCTACTCAGCTGAGCCCTTCTGCTTCCTGGGCAAATAGGGGGCCAGAGAAGGGCAGCCCCCACGTCTGTGCCTGACCTAGGAAGGAGGGAATATGGCCCCAGAATCTGATAATCTAGCCCATCAGACTCATGAGCCACCTCTGTTTCTTTCTTTCTCTCACTCCTGGGCACAATGATGCATTATAATGAAAATGACAGTTAACTCCCATATTGCATTCCCACAGTTCATGCAGCATCTTAAGTGCTTCAGTTGTATCACCTCATTTAATCTTCAACAAATTTATGTGATAGGGTTATTATTTTACAGATGAGGAAACTGAGGCACAAAGTCACATAGCCAGTAATAAAACGTTGCTCAAGTTCACACCATTAGTAATAAAAAGTATACTTAAGTCAATATTGTAAGTCCACATGTAAGTTACTTTTCTTCTTTCTTTATTCTCTCTCTTTTTTAATGGATTTAGGGAATACAAGTTGAATTCCATTACATGTATATATTATTCACTGGTAGAGTCTGGGCTTTTGATGTACCTATCACGCTAGTAATGTACATTGTACCGCATAGGTAGGTTTTCATCCCTCCCCCAGCCCTTCCCCCTTGTGAGTCTCCAGTGCCAATTATACCACTCTAGGTGCCCTTGTGTGGCCAGAGTTTAGCTCCCACTTATAAAGGAAAACGTGAGGCAGTTATTTTTCTGTTCCTGAGTTACTTCATTGAGGAGAATGGCCTCCAGTTCTATCCAAGTTCCTGGATAAAAACGATGTTATTTCATTCTTTCTTGTCGCTGACTAGTACTCCATGGCACCACTATGTAGTACTACATGTGTACCACATTCTCTTTATCCACTCTTCAGTTGATGGGCACTTAGGTTGATTCCATATCTTTGCGATTGTGAGTTGTGCTATGATAAACATACAAGTGTATCGAAATAACCTTTTAATTTCCAAGAATTAACTTACCACTCATATCCTAAAATATTTGTTAAGTATTGTAGGTTAATACACTTAAGAATTACAGGACTGAATTTAGAAATTCTGTGTTTTCCACATTCAATAAATGACTTAAAAGATCAGAACAGGCCGAAGGCTCCCTGCCTTCCCGTCCCTGGCGGCCGCAGGGCTTGCAGCGGCTTCGCTACAGCGTGGTTCCTCTTCCCGCCCCATTTTCCCTTCCCTCTCATCTCCTCCCAGACAGAGGCGCCTCGCTTGGGGGTGGGGGGCTTTCCTCGTCTAGGGCCATTTCATAGTTCTGAATCATGTCTGATAACGGAGAACTGGAAGACAAGCCTCCGGCACCTCCCGTGCAAATAAGCAGTACCATTTTTAGCACTGGAGGCAAAGACCCTTTGTCAGCCAATCACAGTTTGAAACCTTTGCCATCTGTTCCAGAGGAAAAAAAGTCTAGACAGAAAATCATCTCCATATTCTCAGGCACAGAGAAAGGAAGTAAAAAGAAAAGGGACAGCCAGAAATTTCTCCTCCATCTGATTTTGAGCACACCATCCGTGTTGGTTTGATGCTGTTACTGGAGAATTCACTGGCATGCCAGAACAGTGGGCTCAAGTATTACAGACTTCCAATATCACCAAACTAGAGCAAGAGAAGAATCCTCAAGCTGTACCGGCTGTCTATGATTCCAACACAGTGAAGCAGAAATATCTGAGCTTTACTCCTCCTGAGAAAGATGGCTTCCCTTCTGGAACACCAGCACTGAATGCCAAGGGCTCGGAAACATCAGCAGTAGTAACAGAAGAAGATGACGATGAAGAGACTGCTCCTCCCGTTATTGCCCCACGACCAGATCATACAAAATCAATTTACACACAGTCTGTAATTGACCCTATTCCAGCACCAGTTGGTGATTCTGCTGTTGATGGTGGTGCTAAGTCTTCAGACAAACAGAAAAAGAAGACCAAGATGACAGATGAAGAAATTATGGAGAAATTAAGAACTAATGTGAGCATAGGTGACCTTAAGAAAAAATATACAAGATACGAAAAAATTGGACAGGGGGATTCTGGTTTAGTTTTCACTGCTACTGATGTGGCGTTGGGACAAGAGGTTGCAATCAAACAGATTAACTTACAGAAACAGCCAAAGAAGGAATTGATTATTAATGAAATTCTAGTGATGAAAGAATTAAAGAATCCCAACATAGTTAACTTCTTAGACAGTTACCTGGTGGGAGATGAATTGTTTGTGGTAATGGAGTACCTTGCTGGTGGGTCACTTACTGATGTTGTGACGGAAACCTGCGTGGATGAAGCACAAATTGCTGCTGTATGCAGAGTGTTTACAGGCATTGGAGTTTTTACATGCTAATCAAGTAATCCACAGAGACATCAAAAGTGACAATGTGCTTTTGGGGGATGGAAGGATCAGTTAAACTTACTGACTTTGGTTTCTGTGCCCAGATCACCCCTAAGCAGAGCAGATGCAGTACCATGGTGGGAACGCCATATTGGATGGCACCAGAGGTGGTTACATGGAAAGCTTATGGCCCTAAAGTTGACATATGGTCCCTGGGTATCATGGCTATTGAGATGGTAGAAGGAGAGCCTCCATACCTCAATGAAAATCTCTTGAGGGCCTTATACCTGATAGCAACGAAGGGAACCCCAGAACTTCAGAATCCAGAGAAACTTTCTCCAATATTTCGGGATTTCTAAAATCGATGTTTGGAAATGGATGTGGAAAAAAGGTGTTCAGCCAAAGAATTGTTACAGCATCCCTTCTTGAAACTGGCCAAACCATTATCTAGCTTGACACCACTGATCATGGCAGCTAAAGAAGCAATGAAGAGTAACCGTTAACATCATTGCTGTGGCCTCATATTCTTTTTTCCATTTTCTAAAAGAAGTCTTTTAATATATGAAAATTATTATACTCTTTTGGGAGCTTAAAGAAATGGTCTGTATAACATGGAGGAAAAAAAGCAAGCTACTATTCTCTGAGGACAAGGAGAAAATTGCAAAAAGGAAATTATGACTTTCAAATGAACCCCTTCTTTTTTTTTATTTCGGCATATTATGGGGGTACAGATTTTAAGGTTTCAATAAATGCCCACTTCTTCCCTCCCCCCACAAGTCTTGAGTCTCCAGCATGACCATCTCCCAGATGGTGCACATCTCACTCATTATATATGTATATACCTGCCCCCCTCCCCCTGCCCAATACCCTATTACTGCAGTACCTATGTGACCACTTAGGTGCGGTTCAGTTAATGCCAATTTGCTGGTGAGTATATGTGGTGCTTGTTTTTCCATTCTTGGGAAATTTCACTTAATAGTATGGGTTCCAGCTCTAACCAGGAAAATATAAGATGTGCTATATCACCATTGTTTCTTAGAGCTGAATAGTACTCCATGGTATACATATACCACATTTTAATAATCCATTCTTGGATTGATGGGCACTTGGGCAGTTTCCAGAATGAACCCCTTCTTTAGGGTCCAAAAGGAATTGTGGACTGAATCACTAGCCTTATGTCTTTCAGCAGACAGCCTATCAGGGCCATTTATCATGCTTGAGATTTGCATTTTATTTTGCTGACTTTGTTGTTACAGATACCATTCATTGTCCCCTTTTGGGATATGTTCAATACTTGAATGGCGGATTCGAGTTTTTCAGAGTATTTGTTCCATCTGCTAGTCTTCTTTTTCTCTCCTTCATTAGCTTTCCTTTTCCTTGACTTGCTCCTTTTGAGTTGCTCTGAGAAGTTTTTCTCATGCCTAAATTCAAGACAGGTGTGATAGAAATTATGTAGCTCCTCATATTGGCAAAGGAGTTCAGTATGGTTTAACTTTGTATAGAAGTTAGGAGCAGCTATTGTTACATGTTATATTTTAGTTTAGAACTTGACCTGAAGGAAGGGAAGAAAAAGTATGTGATTTTTACCTTTTTTTTAACAAATGTGAAAAAGTCAATTTTAGAAATTTCATGGTAGTGAGTTTGGCATTTGTTACATGTATAGAGAGAAGACTAATAATCTATGTTTATAACTAACTAAATCATTGAGGTAGAAAAAGAATCCCATTGATTATATACATTGTTACAGTTTTATCTTCCTTTCTATTTCCTCTTCAGATTTGGCTTCAGGAACCAAAGTGATTTGTTCTTGTTCCAACTTGGGCTTTATAAGACTTTGGTTAGTGCCTCGACTTTTCCCTTCCCTCTTTCCCCACCCAACCCCTTCATTTCGGAAATAAATTTTTGTATATGTTGCAATTTTAGGTTTAGGGTTTTTTTGTTTGTTTGTTTGTTTTTTTTTTTTATTAAATTTTTTTTTTTTTTGAGACAGAGTCTCGCTTTGTTGCCCAGGCTAGAGTGAGTGCCGTGGTGTCAGCCTAGCTCACAGCAACCTCAAACTCCTGGGCTCGAGTGATCCTTCTGCCTCAGCCTCCGGGTAGCTGGGACTACAGGCATGCGCCACCATGCCCGGCTAATTTTTTATATATATATCAGTTGGCCAATTAATTTCTTCCTATTTGTAGTAGAGACGGGGTCTCGCTCTTGCTCAGGCTGGTTTTGAACTCCTGACCTTGAGCAAACCGCCCGCCTCGGCCTCCCAAGAGCTAGGATTACAGGCGTGAGCCACAGCGCCCGGCCTTGTTTGTTTGTTTTTAATTAACCCTCTCTCATTTCACACATCGCCCCCATCCCCACCCCCTGTGGCAACTAATACAATAACTATTGAATTTTCTAAATTTAAAAGTTAACTTTTTTTTATCCCATTTAAAAGAGAAAAATATTTGGGGCTAATGGCAACAAAGTGAGAGACTTAAACCTTGGTGAGCTCCAAAATGAGATTATATTCATGAAAGAGAAATGTCAGTATTACAGAGAAACAGCTTATGACTAGTAAACCATAGAGATATGTCTTAAGTTACGTTGCTCCCAAACCATTACCAATGTTTTACTGTCTGTGAGAACTTAAATGACTAAGTACTTCTTGAAGAATTCATGGGTCATTAGAGATGTTGAGTTACTTTAGTTTTCTGGGGTTTTTTTCTCAAATAAGTAAAGAATATTCATGTAAAAACTGGAGAAAAGAAGAAAGATGAAATGTATTTGTTGAAAGAAATACTTTTTTTATTTTAAAGATTAAAAAAAGGTCTGTGACCTGTAGCATTAATTATTCGAGTGCCCTTTTTTCTCCCCTCCACTTCTTTCCTCTACTTCTGTCCTTATTTTGGGTTTTTTTTGCTTTCTGAGTAGGTATTGTTCTTTCTGACATACCTGGAACCACATAAAAGAGAAATATCTGTGGTTTGGTTCTGGCATTTTGTTCCCACCATGCCCTCCCAATTAATTTCACTCCTGCTTGCCATGTTGCAATAGTACAAATCATGAATAAAAATAATTTTGTCGTTTTGGAGTACATTGAGGAAACTAGTAGGGTTTTATTTCCTATTATTCCCATTATATCTGTGTTAAGATACAAGATAAGGAGAGAAGTGGCTGTTTCTTTATGGATAAGACAGGAAAATTTTCCAAAAAATGAGTAAAATAATTAATGAAACTTATAATTAGAGCACTTAATGGTCTCCTTTCAGTACAATACTTGACTTCCTTTTTCTCTGGACTCTATTGGCCTTCTACAGCTATTACTAAGTTACAGGAACAAGCTGGTTTATTTCTGGCGGAAAGCTACAGTGCCTCTTGAGTTCCAGATTTCAACGTTCTTTCTAAACAGTTGTCTGGATGGATTATGATAAAGAAGATGCTACCAATGAAATAGAAACCCAGCTAGATGATAAGACTGATCATCAGGACCACTTGAGAAGGCACTTTCATCCTAAGTCATATAAACACCATATCCATTAAATATGTGCCAGTGCCCCATTTTATGTTTGTAACTCAACAAAGGGCTTTTCAGTTTAATAGAAGCAGTTTGGGATTTGTATTTACAACTTCTTTGATGGTTACCTGCACATCCATTGCTGGCAAGGACTTTGTCATTAAAACCCGACTCCTAGGTTAAGGGAGCTACACTGTGGTTTATTCTTTCCTTACTTGGACAGACTAACCTGTAATAGAAATATACTTTGGTTAATTCTGAAATGTGTCCTTTTTAAACAAAATAATCTTACAAGCAATACAGATTTGTGATTTATTAGTTAATTTTAAATTAAAATGTCTAGATCTTGTTGAAAGAACAATTATATCTGAAATCAAGATTCATTTTTAAAAAATGATTGCCTTTTGTATTCCCCCTTTTTATCTTCATCTTAGGATGAAAATTCCCATTTAAATCTAAAAGTTATCTTAGTGGTCCTCTTGTTATTAGAACAATATTACTATAGTACTTATTTATTGTATTTTAGACTCTCTGGTGGTCTTAAAGTTACCTTTTTTTCCCTTTTGCTGCTTTTAGGGACAGTAAAAACTGGGAAACCATGAAAACATTGAGCATTTTATCATACCTGAATAGTAAATAAGTAAAATGATTATGTAGCATGAGATACCAAAGCTAACACAACTCTATCTTCATGTGTTGAGTGCCTGGCCATAGTATGAATTCTCTTCCCTTCAACATACAAATAAATATTAAGCTGCTTAAATGTATCTAGTAACCACCAATCCTAAATGAGCCTGTGCCTTTAACAAGTAATTTTAAACTACCTATTAGTATTTCTTTGTAGGGGTCACTTAATGTTTGTTTGTGTATACTGTATTCTAGCCAGAATAATTTTAGATCTGATTAGGTAACAAGGTAATAGCTATAATTAGAAAAATAGGTGTTTAAAGAATTTGCATCAGTTTTTTTTGTTTTGTTTTGTTTTGTTTTTTGAGACAGAGTTTCACTTTGTTGCCCAGGCTAGAGTGAGTGCTGTGGCGTCAGCCTAGCTCACAGCAACCTCAAACTCCTGGGCTCAAGCAATCCTTCTGCCTCAGCCTCCCGAGTAGCTGGGACTACAGGCATGCGCCACCACGCCCGGCTAATTTTTATATATATATATTAGTTGGCCAATTAATTTCTTTCTATTTATAGTAGAGACGGGGTCTTGCTCTTGCTCAGGCTGGTTTCGAACTCCTGACCTCGAGCAATCCGCCCGCCTCGGCCTCTCAGAGTGCTAGGATTACAGGCGTGAGCCACCACGCCCGGCCTGCATCAGTTTTTAAATCTAAAATTATTAAAATATACTGAGATCCATATCGAGTGAAATGTCAAAATATTATAGATTATAGGTAAAATCCAGATTAATACTCTCTTTGGTTTTTTTATAAGTGGAATTTCATAGTAATATAAAAAGCAAATTATCTCCACTGCTCCCACAGTAGATAATAATATTTAAGCAGTTACATCAGTTTTTCCATAGTGTGTGTATGTGTGTGTGTGTAAGAAAAATATACACACACATTTTTTTTCTTCACTCAACACATTTATTGAACACTCTGGCAAAGATGCTGTGGTAGATGATGGAGTTACAAAGAAGAATCAAGCACTGGCCTGGCCTTGAAAGAACTGAAGTCTTTCTCCACCATTCTAGAATGTTGCCAAGACAAGAGGCAGAAAGAAATATATGATAATTCTGTCAAATTATCATTTTATATTAAGAAAAACAATTACAATTGGAATTCAACATCTTTGGTTGGAATGTGTTGGCTTCTTTTTCTTGTTTTGATAGATAGAGATGGAATCAAGTGAAGGTAGCTTGTCTTTTCTGTTCTGTCTTCAAATTGTATGCCTTTTATTTTTAATTTAATCCCATCCAACTATTTAATTGTTACATTGACATTAACTGTTGTATTTGATGACTTTGTTCAATACTTTTGTTCTTTCAGGGCTAGAAATAAACTTTTTTTTAATGTTTAAAAAAAAGATCAGAACAATTAGTTCCTAGGAGATAACGAATCTGTGATTTCTGCGCAATAGTCAGTATCTGACACTCAGTAATTAATGGGGTGAAGAGGGTGAGGGGTGGGAAGAGATCATCGCTGTGCTGTGGAGCCCACCTCATTATTTTTGAATAGTCCAAAGCTTGTACATTTCATTTAATATTTTAGTTAGTGCTACAAAAACTAAGGCTACTACTTAGGGCTGTTGAAAAATGGAGCACTCAGGATTCCTGTCTATTAAAAAAGAATGTATTAATTTATTCCATAAATACTGTATTTCATAACTTCTGAGATGCACTTTTTTTACATTTAGCATCCTTGTAATTAGGAAATGTCTTATAATCGATGGCATATTAACATTTCATCATATTAATTTAATGATGTTGTATTAGATTAGGTGAAGTATAGTATTTATTGAGTGCCTATCAGATGCCAGGCACCGTTCCAGGCTCTCTGAATGTCTGAGGCAGATTCGCACACGGGCCGTATATTCGGTAGTGCTTTGGGGATTGGCACCTATGGAAGGCAAGCAGAGGGGACAATTGGACAGAGTGAGAAGTAGGACTTCAATCCATCTCAACAAAGGCCTCCTCTGGGCGGATGAGGAGCTCTGAAGCTGGCATAGGGTGATAGGACCCAGCATTTGTACCTTGGCTTCAACTTGTCATTGGAGGTAGCTGCCTGGGAGGGGCACATGACCTTGACTGAGGCAGCTCCCTTTGGCCAAGGCAATCCCTGAAGAGGGCCAACCCAAGAGTCAAAGAACTCCTAACAGCTGGAGGACTAAGTCCCTCAAACCTGAAAGGGAGTCTGGGTGACACATTGTAGCTTCCACAACAGTAGGGGAAAAAAGACCCCAAAAAACATCTGCTAAGAGATGTAGAAAAGGGGATGCCCAGGGGGGTTGCCTTCATACCTCACAGATCAAGTTGCAACGGTGGCCGTGGGAAGGGTGGCTGCTTTGAGAGCAGAACTGGTCGTTATAATGTTTCAAAAGATAGTGGAACTAGAAACATAACCACTTTTGCTCAGTGCTGATTATCTGTCCTTTTTTTTATTTTTCACATTTTAGGCTCCTGATGGCCTTGGACCAGTCCCCATTAAACCTTCAGAAGTTCAAATCAAGCAGAGTTATTCTTTCTTCAATTTGCAGGTCAGCTCCATTACATAGTATTAATCAATTGAGTTTCTTATGAAGTGAAAACAAATTCTTGAAGTAGAATTGCATTATTTTATTAATTTTGTTCAATTATGGAATATACTATGTAGCATACTGTGTGGACTTGTCGGCTATTATTTTATAGCATGTGGAAGGTACAACAGATTCTTTTTTCCTAATGTAGCTTATGGAAACTAGGGTCTTTACTCTGTGGACATACCATACATTACACATACAGGAGCAAAGCTATCTAAACTACCTATATTAGAAGCTTCGAGAAGAAACACAAGATGAAGTGCATAAAAATTAGTCAGCCTTTCTTGAGGTATATGACCATTGCTGTTTTTGAAAATAACAATATTTTGTTATATTTTTACAGTTAAGCCATATGGTATGATCGAGTAATTAGGAATGCTTACATGTGCTGAAAACCAGAGCAGGGCTCAGAACTTGCACTAAAGTTTGTCTGGGGCTGGTCCAAACGAGCACTCGCTACAGTCTGATGACTACAACCTAGTGCTTGTTTTGCTTTTACCATCAAGCAGTTCAGAATGCTGTTGTTGAGAATGGTAATGGTTTTTAAGGATATTCAATCTTCTTTCACTTCAGGTTCCTCAACAATATAAAATTAAGAGGTATCAGCCATTCTCCATCCACAGATCTGCAAGAAGTTACAGACCTCAAAAGCTTGTTCGAGCTCTGAAGCAAGGAGCTGAGGTAACACATCCCCACTTTCAAGAATTGCTCTCGCTTTTCCCCTTATCCCAGCATCAAGACTTAACACCCTGCTCTTGATCCTTGTATAGGATGAAGTCACCACCATCATAGCCCTTCCAAAACAGGACTCCGCATCTGAGCTCTCTGGCAAGACCTCAGTCTTGACCATGAAACCGCCTGAGGCCTTAGCCATGTCTCCAGATTATGATCCGCATTATATTTTTGTAAGTTACAGTTGGGAAAAGTCTTGTGTCCTATGTTCCTTCCAGTAATTACTCCATAAGAAAACAGAAGCATTAGTTTGGAATGTTTTTTTCTTTTTGGAATTTCAAGTGTTAAACAATACCTCACCTTTGAAATTATTTGCCAGCATTTATTTTTGGGAGAATATTACTGTTTCTGTCTTTTAACAATTTCTGCATTTTTTAAATAAAAATAACTTTATGATCTTTTCTAATTATATATAATATATACATGTAAGCCAAAGAAGAAATCAAAAGAGAAATTAGAAAGTATGTTTAAGTGAATGAAAATGAACACAAAAAATTTGTGGGAAATGTATAGCACTATACTTCTACATTAGAAAAGAAGAAAAGTCTCATGTTAATATCCTAAGTGACCCCTTTAAGAAACTATAAAAAGAAGAGCAGGTGAAACAAACTAAGAGGAGAGAAGAAACAATAAAGATCAGATTGAAAATCAATGAAATGGGAAATATAAAAACAGTAGGTTCTTTGAGAAGAGCAATAAAATGAATAAACCTCTATCCTAACTGATCAGGAAAAAAGGTAAAAGATACAAATTACCAATGTGAGGAATGAGAAAGGTGACATCACTGAGATTCTACATATATTTAAAGATAATAAGTTAATATTATGAAAAACTTTTGCCAGTAAATTTGACAACTTAAGTTAAATTGCAAATTCCTTAAAAGACACAAATGTTGAAATCATATTAAAGAGGAGATAAATAACCCAAATAGCTCTATATTTATTAAATAAATTGAATTCTGGTTAAAAACCTTCCCATGAAGAAACCTCCAGATTCAGATGCCTTCACTGGGGAATTCTGCCAAACATTTAAAGAAGAAATAATACGAATTTACACACTCTTCCAGAAAATGCAAGAGAGGGGACTACTTCCCAACTCATTCTAGAAGTTAATGTTACTCTGACATCAAAGTCAGACAGAGACATTGCAGGAAGAGAAAAGAACAGACCAATATCCTTCATAAACATAGATGTAAAAATTTGTAACAAAATTTTAACGAATCAAACCTATCATTATCTAAAAAGAATAATGTATCATAAGCAAGTAGGAGCTTGTGCTAGGAATACAAGATTAGTTTAACATTCAAAGCTCAATATAATGTGCATATTAACAGACTAAAAGAAAAAATCTCAATAGGTACAGAAAAATTATCTGATTTACATTATTGATAAACACTCTCAGCAAGTGAGGGATAGAAAGGAACTTTCTCAATCTGATAAAGGGCATCTATTTAAAACCTAGAGCTGATACCAAACTGAATGATAAATGAATGCCTTTCTCCCTACAATCAGAAATAGGCAAGGATGTCTGCTCTTACAAATTCCATTCAAGATTGTAACTATAGTCAATGCAATAAGGCAAGAAAAATATTAATAAACAAAAGGCACCCAGATTCTAAAAGAAGACATAGAACTGTCTTTATTCACAAAATTATTGTCTATATAGAAAATACAAAAAAATCTAACCTACTAAAAACTAAGTGAATTTAGCAAGGTTACAGGACACATAATCATCATACAAAAATCAATTCTATTTCTATATACTAACAAACATGCTGAAATTAAAATTTTAAAAGCAGCCGGGCGCCGTGGCTCATGCCTGTAATCCTAACACTCTGAGGGCCGAGACGGGCAGATTGCTCGAGGTCAGGAGTTCAAAACCAGCCTGACCAAGAGCGAGACCCCGTCTCTACTATAAATAGAAAGAAGTTAATTGGCCAACTAATATATATAGAAAAAATTAGCCGGGCATGGTGGCACATT